AACAGGAAAAAAAGGCAGAACGAAAAATATGAGCCGTCGAGGTTTGGCGAACGCGTGAGCCTGAAGAGAGATTTTGTAAAACTTTAATTTATTAACTTCACTTATATTTTACTTTAAACAATAACTTCAACTCTTTGTAGTTATAATCGTACAGCTATAACCAGTGGCGTAGCCAGACCTTAATTTTTTTTTTTTGGGGGGGGGGCAAACCTCATGCACGCCGAAGTGTGAGACCGTCTAGGAGGGTCCGGGGGCATGCACCCCCGGGAAAATTTTGAAATCTAGGGTCCCTGAATTGCGATTTCAAGCATTTTGGGAGTGAAATCTAGCAGAATTCCGAAGATTATAAAGTACATCGAAGACATGAATTTTTCCAGACATTTCTACTCGGAATGAAATAAATTGGAAAAGTCACCTTGAAAAATAGGAGGAGGGGTCAGTGTCACCTTATTTCCTTTCTGTGATGCTGGGGGGGGGGAGAAAATCCCAATGTGATTTTGATCAGAAATGTTGCATTTAAATCATTTTAGGTTCTATGAGACACCATTTCCGCATTAGCCGAATTCATATTAGGGACGGGAAACTCGTCTGTGAAAACCCATGAATTTAGGGACGGATAAATTCGAATTTTATAAGACGAGTTTCCCGTCTAGATGAGATTCCCGTCTAACTTTCCCGTCCGTTTAGACGGGTAAGTTAGACGGGAAAGTTCGGACAGGAAACTCGTCTGCCCCCGGATTCCGTATTAGACGAGTTTCCCGTCTAAGACAAGTTTCCAGCATTTTATCGGATTGTTTGCATGAAATCTATCGCTATTATGAAATATTCGGTGAAGAACCATATGAATTACACACAAGATGGCTGTGGAGGAGGCTATGGAAGGGCATAATCTCATTATCAAGTAAATCAACTGCAATTCTGACAGCAATCATAAGCAATTCTGGTTCGCACTTCGGGGGCAGAAATGGCTTTACTGGGGTGGCAAATTTTTTTCCCTGGGGGGGGGGCAATTGTCCCCCCAGATATATAGTTAAAAAAGGCACTGTTATTTTCGGCGAAAGGTATGGCTATAGTCTATATTTTTGTTCAGACAATTGCGTAATTTGATCGTGTTTGACTTTCAAAGGCCCATAAATCGCTACAATGTTGATAATGACTATAACTATACCGAGGAATTAGTTGAATCTTTTATTTCGCAATAGAATGGTGGTATTTCTGTCTTCATAGCGTGCACTGAACTCAAGATATGAAATTTCTCGCCATCATCCTCTAGAGGTTGACGAGACTGGCTTGTGATGCAAAAGAGAGAAACAAATTATATCAAGCACAGTTATTACTTATTGACCTTAAACCAGTAAAGGCCCTGTTACACGGTGCAATTTTTCATGCAACTTGTCTCGCAATGGCATTGCGAGATGAAGTTGCACGAGTTATTGCACCGTTTTACATGCCTTGCGATGGTCAAAATCTTTGCGAGACAAGTTGCATGAACTGCAATGATTGTCCAACGATAAACTTAGTATGGTAACATGAATGAAAACGTAATGTAAATAGAGGATATTAGATGGTTGCGAGGAGATATGAATTTCAGTGTTCGAGTGGCAAAAAACAATAGAGAGTTTAAGTTCGAATTCCAATACCAATATCGATACCAATGTTTTCATAGTCGAGGACCTGTATGTGAGTTTGTATGCATTTCATTTAGGACAGATAATCTCAACTGTTTTAGGGCAAGTTGACCATGACGGTCAAGATGGTAACGCTGCCCGAACCCCAATCCTGGACGAAACGTTATCCGGGACCAAAAACATCGTCTACAGGTCCTAGACTATCACTTCCGTTCTCATTTTGGTACCGGGAATTTTAAAGCGTTAAGTTATCACGACAGATAGAGTATAGAACACATTAATCGTCACCGAAAATGTGCGGTATACTAAACGGCACCTGAGCTAAAATTCCGACTAAAACATGACTCAGGGCTCAGGCGATGCTAGTAAACAAATAGTTTACATATTTATCGTAAAAATTATGAAATATCCGATTTATATGAGTTTATCTTACAATTCCCCCGACTTCCAATATAAGGCCGACTTCGGTAGTGGTGACTTCCAATACACTTATCCTCGTTCAACTGCCTGCTCTGGTTTTCGAGCCAAAAACTGAGTCGGTGAAACATTTTTTAAACGAAACAATCTGCCAAAAACGTTTGAAAAACTTAGCCTAACGATAGTCAGAATACGAAAATTGATTGCCTGAAGGCTTAAAGGCTTCATACTAAGCACGATGTTCGCCAGAATTGACAATATTTTGATAAAAATGCGACTGAAAGTTGGAAAGTTATTTGACATGTATATAAAACTTTGTTGCTTTCTCTTTGATTAGTATACGCAGCAATAATGCAGCATTGAGTTAGTTTATTCCTGTCAGTAATTACAATGTAGATAATTATTCTATATACGTACTCATACGCATGAATTATCATAATTGAACACCCCAAATACTGGAGATTTTGGGGTCATTTGACCGGCCGATGCAAGGCCATTTTCATATATGATTATTTCGGTTTGTGTAATGTTTTGACGGCATTTCACCCCCCCCCCGTTCGAAAGGTTATTTTGTAAGGATTTCAATGGTGGTGTTCGTTTAAAGGGGAGGAGGGTAAATACTCGCCGAGATATTTACATTAGAAACATCGACTCGTATTATGTAATGCAATACCACCTGTCGACAAAGAGTTGTGAGTGGTAGCGCAAGGCTGAAGCTAGTCAATTTATAAGATATTCTTTTTTTTCCTTCTCTGATATTCTTTATCACGTCAAGTTGTGTCCCAAGTACTTTAATTCTCGTTCATTTTTTGTTCGTCGTTTGCGAGATGATTTAGATGCGCACTGTTCGGGCTATATTACTTTGTTAGGGACTGAAATACTGAGGCAAAAGCTAACTAAAGGCAAAAATGATGTATAAAGTGATAAATATAATGTGTCCCAAATCACTTACTATTTTTTTTCATACAAAAGTGAGAAAACAAATTACAACCTTCGGGAAATTTCAAGTGGTCTTAGTTTATCGAATCCGCGTACTAACAATATTAAAAATAGTTAAACTCTTTCCTCTTTAAGAAATAAATCGCTGCTCACATCATTGACATAGAGTAATAAGTAAATTGATGTGCCTGTAAATATTCTAATAACGTATCATGTAAATAAGTTAGCATTTTGCCAAATGTTTTGTAAATAGCTTTTAATACCTTCTTTATGGAATTTTTGCACACGCCCCTCGTGGAAATCAGCTTCGGTTGACGAGGTTAGCGTGTATAAATGAAGTGTTTATCTTATCTATCTTATCTAGTTGATATCAATATATTGTGGGACCAGATGCAGCATGTTTTTTTCAGATCGCCCGTTTAAGGCCGTTTATATATTATTTTCATGGGCGTATCGGGCGGGGGGGGGGGCGGAGGGGTCGGCAGCCCCCCCGCTTTGTTCGGCAAACAAAGCCAGTCGGGCAATATTCGCTTCACAGCTCGGGCAATATTGGCTTATTATAAAAATAAATGGGACACATTCTGTCAATTTTGTGGGAAATTCTGTCAATTTTGTGGGAAATATGCTATCTAATAGGAATTTTTTGTAATCACTCCTTCCCCCCCCCCCCGTCGACAACAATTTTGGAAAGTTTCTCCGGAAAATTTTTTTGACTGGGCGGACACAATCCGAAAAAGTCGGGCAAATTTCTTTCCGCTCCCCCCCCTAATTTTTCCTTCCCGTACGCCCATGATTATTTTGCAGCACTTATACCAAGGATGATCTACCTTTGCTGTATGTCATGATTGTTCCGCTGCGTTGTTTGTTTGTTTGTTTGTTTGTTTGTTTGTTTGTTTGTTTGTTTGTTTTTTTGTTTGTTTGTTTGTTTGCTTGCTTGCTTGCTCGCTTGCTTGTCTGCTTGCTTGCTTGCTTGCTTGCTTGCTTGCTTGCTTGTTTGTTTGTTTGTTTGTTTGTTTGTTTGTTTGTTTGTTTGTTTGTTTGTTTGTTTGTTTGTTTGTTTGTTTGTTTGTTTGTTTGTTTGTTTGTTTGTTTGTTTGTTTGTTTGTTTGTTTGTTTGTTTGTTTGTTTGTTTGTTTGTTTGTTTGTTTGTTTGTTTGTTTGTTTGTTCACATTTAATACGGTTGATATTACAGCAATCTTAGGGATGACTCACTGATCTTTTGTGGCTATGCCTTTGCTGTAAGCCATGACTATTCGGCTCCTTTGTGTCAAAGATTAGATACGATAAAGATGTGCCACTCTGCTAAAATATGTCCGAGATTTTTTTATAGCCGCCATTTTGCCAGTAAGTGTCAAATCCAAAGCCATCAGTCTCCAAATAGTAAAATCCAACGCCATCAGTCTCGCTGCCATTTTGGCAGTTTGTGTTATGCACTCGTCATCTCGCGTGATCACTCGTGATCAGCACGGAAAATTACGGACACGCAAACATTAGGGAAACACGTCGAGTGGCACATCTATATCGTATCTAATCTTTGGTTGTGTGTTCATGTTTTCGTGTCACTGCGTATACAATTATAGCTCTCACGAATCGCTTCACACTTATTACATCACGAATCGCTTCACCAGACGGAACCAGAAAAGTCTGGATGCCCGCAACTCGCCCTAGCACACGTGTCCAGCGCCGAGCTCCAGCGGCAAGAGCACCTAGTGCCTCTTCGCGACGGCGGCGGGCAACAGCAGCATCTACAAGTGCAACCAATGCAGCCAGGGTCAGGCCTACTTTGGGGGCCAAGGCCGCCGTTATTATGTGCAACATTATGCGACATTAGGCGACATTGGCAATTTTCAATTGGCAATTATGCGACATTAGGCGACATTGGCAAAGTTGAAAAGTTTAGGATTATAATAAAAAACTGGCGTTTTCTTTGTAGATAAAAATACAAAAACAACTTCCCGCGGCTTGTTTCAAGACTTTTACCGGGCCACGAAGATTCCACGCGCGAGTCGCGAGGATGACGTCTGAAATATATAAATGTTTTAAACTGGACTTTAACTGTAGGGAGCCACCTTAACATCCCAAAATCTTGTTCAAAATCCCAAAATCTTATTCTAAAATTCTTTTCCAGAATATTCTCGAAATCTTTTCCCAAAATTATTTTCCAAAATGTTCGCAAAATCCTGTTCAAAAATCTTGCCAAATTCTTCGGAAATTATCGAAATCTTTGTTCCAAAATCCTGTGTCAAAATCATTTCTAAGTTTATTCTTCGGTCTCAAGAGTCTTGAGAAATCTTCGAAATCTTATTCCAAAACCCTGTTCCAAAATAATTCCTAAGTTTATCCTTCGGTCTTAAGAGTCTTCGGAAATTTTCGATATCTTATTCCGAAATCCTGTTCCAAAATGATTCCTAAGTTTATCCTTTGGTTTCAAAAGTTTTTTATAGATCTTCGAAATCTTGTCCTAAAATCATTTCGAAGTTTATCATCCCTCGGTCCCAAAAGTTTTCAAAAATCTTTGAAAAACCTTCCCCAAATCTAATTTTCAAAATATTTCCATATTTTATCCGTATACGTAAACGGCGACTAGAAAAAATTGCAAAGGCGTTGAACTGGACATATCCGGGACGGTTAATCATCTAAATACCATTCTGGAGGAGTTTCCGAATTACGAGAACACAATTCCGAAGATCAGGTTAAAGACACCTCATCTACGCTTTAATTCATTAAGAGTTTAAATATGTCCTTCATAAAGCGCGCTTTCATTTTTTAAGGAAAAGAAAATTAACAACTTTCGAAAGGCAGAAGAAGAATATTATACCCGAAGCGTAAAGTCCTGTGGAAACATAGGACTTGAATTGGAAGACTAGTGTAGGATTTTTATGTTCATAATTTTCTCCAGGAAGTTTTCCAGCAATTTGTCCGGATTTTGGAGACGAGTTGAGGGTAAATTTGCACCGCGAGCGCATACTCAAGAAACCAAGAAAGCCGGCACCACCATTACCGGAGAAAATAGAAGTTCCTTACATTATGTTAACCCCATCATCACCCATTAAACCTAAACTTGAATGGAAAGGTGTACGAAAAAATTCAAAGGGAGGCAATGATTAAGTCTTACGTTACAAAAGTGTCGGAAAAATATTGTCTTTCGTTAGAAAAACGTAAATTTTTTTTTACGTCATTTTACTTTTGTTACAGTTTGGGAAAAATTCGAAAGTGGAAGTGACATTGTCGAAAGAGAATGAAATAGTAGACATTTCCGGCATAAATTTAATTCCGGGCGACTTTATCGTGAGAAAATCACCATTTAAAGACAGTACCCTTACGTAATAAGCCATGGCCAGAAATCGAGGTCAGCCAGCGGATTGACCTGTGGGCTCAAAATCTCAAATATTCAAAATGGCGGTTCGATTCTATAAGGGGAACGATTGCAGAATACAAGTGACTTCTAATTTCTAAATGCCTCACTTGTTATCATGAGACGCTATAATGCAAATATATAGCCTACCCACGCTTTTATAATAGCGCGAGTGTACAATTATTACGTAATCATTTTCACTTCGTATCATCTTATCATGATAACAAGTGAGGTCTTCAAAAGTGGACTGGTATTCTGCAATCGCTCCTATGCAAAACACTATATATATATTAATTGTGTAAACGTTCTCTGGTTATTTTTTAACCAGAGAACGTTTACACAATTAATTATGAATCCTGGTTTCGCTTCCAACATTTTTAAAACTATATATATAGCTATAATCAAACAAAAATAAACGTAAATACTAATACTGGTAACAGTAATCCATTTATTATTGAAATCTCTGAAGGAATCTTCCCCAACACAAGCCAAATATATTAAATTTTCCGCGCGAAATGGCGCTTGTTTTTGTGAATATACGAGCAAATTTAAAAATAATACAGCGGTATACACCCTGGTAACCTAGTAACAACTCAAAACAGCTCAGGAATGTAAAATGGCAGCAAGAAGCGAAGTGCAGAGCAATATATTTCTTATTTATGCTAGTTTAGCGACTATTTCTCAGCGCTTGGTGGACTAAATTTCGACGAATCTGCGGCATGAAAATGCTATGTTTCAAGGCGTTCGGGAACAGGTTTAAGGAAACCGTTGAGCCTTTAAATACTGCTAAAAACAAAGTATTGTCCACCTCGAATATGCGTAGACGTGGGACCGTGCGAAAAGTCGACCATATGTGGCCAAATTTACGTCTTGGAAAACCTCACTTCGGCAAATCATGTCGATTTAGTTGGCGTTTATATACAAAGTGAGAAGTAGAAATATATATCTCTCGGGAACATATCTACGCTACTCGGACCGTCGCCAGATTTTCGGGAGTTGATACTGGCCTTATTTGATAAATTTTTAGACGTGGGACCGTGTAATTTCTTTACGGGATCGAACACAAAATGCGTAAGTTGAATTTTCTCTTATCAAATCAATAGAACGCCGCCATTTTGAATTTATTTGATGAAAGCTTAACGCGCATGCTTGTCAGCCATGTTGTACTTCATTTCTGACAATGAAAATAACATGAGACTTTACTTTCACTGTCCGTCTATGGATTCGGAAATTCGAGATGTTTGTTGTTCGGATGGTTACGAGAAGATGACCGCGTCCATTCAAGCTATCGTGCGGGGAATTATGGTCGATGACGAGATCCACTTTGGTGATGACCGTTCGGTTTCGATGGAATGTATTTTTTCGAGAAAGAACCTTCAGGTAAACGGTATTTTAATTCAATTGCATCCGATGTACACTGATTATCCGGAAGATTCTCGGGAAGTCGAAGTGATGGGATGTATCCTTCGTTTTGACGACGGGAGGAGTTTAAATTTGGGAAAACCCGAAAGGGTATGGTTCGATCAATGGTACGACGAGCTTTGTGCTAATAGTTACATCGTCGGGAAACGATGGGAAGACGAATTTGACGAGGTGGAAGACAAGCATCTGTGAGTTGGTTTTACCTTTTCACGGTTAACAAGTAATCGTTTCCGGCAACAAGTAGAACTTCACCTTATAGACAAGACTTTTATATATGAAGTAAAAACATGTCCGTTACCGGGATAACCAATTTCTCCGAAGATTCGTTTGCGTTCGAGGATGCTGTCGAGAACAGATATGGTCTAAAAAAGTTAAAATTACGGCATTGGACCAAGATCCACTTTTACTGAAAATTGAAAATTGTTTATCGTACGGTGTAAACAAAAACGATAAGTTTGGAAAAATCACACATTCCGTTCCTATAGCCCTAGGAGGTCAGGATAAGTTCGTGTCCGCATTGGAGCTGGTGGAAAGAGAATGTGCCGATTTTGCCGGCGTGGTCGGTGAAGCCGTTATGAAATATTTTTATCGGAAAGGTGCGTCTCCAACATTACATGTAAAGATTGATGACGAGACGGAAATCCATCTACCGAAAGGGAACGAACGGGTAGATCACAAGAAGTTGCAGGGTAAGCGTTTTTACTGGGATGCTGTGATCAAGGTGGAAAGTCTTTACGTGTCCGAAGACACCGTTTGCGTACAGGTGAAACTGTAGGAAGGAAAGGTTTTGGAGGAAAAGCTAAGGGAACCGAGGAAGAGACTTTTAAGTTGAAAAAATTTTAATGTTTCTTTTCAGACATTAAAATGAATACAGTAGCTTAAGCACAACGGCGTAAAGCAGACATCAACCATTATCCGTAGGAGCAGGCAGGACATCAGGTTCGTTCACGTTAGCGTTCAATTCGCCACACTTGGATTTTCATAATTTATTATCTTTTCATATTTTTTTATTGGCGCGCTGACGTAACCGATTTGGGTGTGCGCGTTGATGGCGAGGTGACCCCGTTCGATATCGATACCCATGCTGAACATTTTTCGATGGTATTTGTCGTACTTCGGTGCGTTGAGGTCTTCGTGTTTTGCGGATAAGCCTCCCATTTTTATTTCTTTTTTACATCTTCCGCCGGCTTTGGTTTTTGTTTTTCTTTCGGCTCTGGTTTTGGTTTGGGTTTTGGACAGCAATTACTCTTATTCATATACCAATGGGTTTTTTACGTTGGAGCTGTTGAACTCGACTTTTGCATCCGCACCAAAGGTTAGATTACCGCTTACCAATGACCACCACTAAAAGCACCATCTCTGAACCATATAAGCTCCTCAGAATAGGCAAGGCGTTTATGGTTTGGTAGATAGCACTATGTCGAAAGCGTCGATTTTGGGTGTGGTCAGTTTTGGACGTTTCGTCCCAGATTGTGGTTCGGGCAGCGTTACCATGTTGACCGTCATGGTGAACTTACCCTAAAACAGTTGAGATTATCTGTCCTAAATGAAATGCATACAAACTCATATACGGGTCCTAGACTAAGTTTGGAAAACGCAAAGTTGTTACTCCAAAACTCATTGTGCTATTAATATTGACGACTTGGTGACTTTTGCAGACGAAAACCACTCTATCAAGGCTGAATTGCAGAGATATATAATGTTTTTATATTTCAATTTAATTCGCTGACAGAATTAAAGATAGAATTCCGTAGGCTACTAGAAGCAGCACGGATTGGGCTGTCGGTTTATGGCAAGAATGGGCTGGGCGAAATCGCTAGTGTAGAGAATTTGAAACGGTTTTCCTTCAAGAATGAGGAAATTAAAATTAAAGACGGTGAGTCGTTTTGGAAACGTGGTAGCGTTCCAACACTGCAATGTGAACAATTTCAACGTGTGATTTGTTCTTTCTAATCATAGTGTATAATCATGGTGTGTTATTTCTCGTGATTGGGGACGGTTTGAATTATCTGAATAAATTGTAAATGTTAGATTTAGACTTTTTCCGCCGCATACTTATTTTGTGGGATTATGTATAATAGTCCCTGGGATTATATATATAATCCCGCTCGCGAATGCAAATCAGCTAATCAGTCATTCACTCGGATCCAATTTCCCGCGGAAGATTTCAAAAGCCGCCGCCAGCTTTTAGAATGCTCTGTTGTTCTTGAGAGGTTGACTAACCATTTATAAACCTCGAAAGAACAAAGAAAACCGACTTGATCGTTTTCTAAAAATTATAAAGCGCGTGGAACTTGTCTAAGGCATGTTTTATACGTCGAATTTTGGTCGTGTCGAACGCAATTAAGACAATAGATAATGAGATGATAAACCTCATTAATTAAGCTTCATTATCTATTGTTTGAATTGCATTCGGCGCGACCGAAATTCGACGTATAAAACAGGCCTAAGATTAGTATAATACTATTTTGGTTAATGTGTTGTTTACATCCTTGCTACCCAGTTCAGAACCTTAGATAACTCACATGCCTAGTTTTAATATAATTGTTCTAGTTTACAGAAGCATGAAGAATAGAACAAAAGTAACTAAGTATTGCAACTATGTATGTAAGATTTAATATTATACTCATGTAGATAATGCTAAACCTTAACTTACGTTTGTTCTATTCTACAGGGTGTATCAAAAAAAGGAGACCTTTAGAAATCTACCATATTGTTAAAATTTGAATGCCTTTTCAATTGCACATATGCTGAACCGTAGTGCGTGAAACATTGATGGGTGCACATATATTAGAAAAAGGAGACTTTTAGAAATTGAAATCAGACGTTTAATTAAACGCAAGACTGTCTGCTCCTCGGAACAATCTGTCATGCATACTGTACGTAGATCGCATGTTCCGCACTCGTGGGCTTAGCAAAGTTCTCCAGGATTCAAATTATAACAATGGTTGATTTCTAAAGGTCTCCTTTTTCTAACATATGCACCCCATCAATATTTCACACACTACGGTTCAGCATATGTGCAATTGAAAAGGCATTCAAATTTTAACAATATGCTTGATTTCTAAAGGTCTCCTTTATTTATACACCCTGTATACAAGGGCGTCGGAAGCGGGGAAGGGGGGAGGCTTTTATTTAGTTGGGGGGCTAAATGTCTTTGGGCTCCCTACGTTTTAACAATGGTCAGTTATAAACCACAAAGTTAATTGGTATTATTTCAGTTAAGCGTGTAGACAAAATTAACAATTTGAGATATATTATGACATTTTGGTACCTTCAGAACTCTGTAGATTTCCTTCTAAAATTTTGGGAGCATGCATACCTGATTCTATGTATATGCTTCGCTAAAGCTTTAGTTTTGAACTGGGTATAAACAAATATAAGCCAAATACAACGTCGTACCTAATCGATTCTACACAAAATTGACTGAATTAAAATATCACACTTGTGTAGCACTTAATTAATACAGCTATAGTATTAGGTTTATTTTATTATTATAGGCAGATAACGTTGAGAATACAAAGCGTGCGTAGTTTTATGTTTACATTCATAAAAGTGCTTAATTTAACTTCAGAGTCCTATTAGATGTCGATCTATATTTCATTAAATTTAAATTGCGATAACGGTCTGTCGTGACCATTATATTATCTAGTTATTCATCCATGTAGTAATAATATTTCGGTCCAGTAGCCATGCCTGCTTGATTTACTGAAATCTGACGAGATTCATTTTGTTGTTGATATTCCCAAGCTGGAATCTAAAGAATGACACCAATTTTTATTATATGTACTGTATGTATGCATGAGTGACTTCATTTGGTGGTACGATAGAATTAAGACAATGACTTTGCCTGCGCTTGGGGATTGTAGGCTTTTCATGGACCTTTTGCGACCCCATGCCAGATTTTACCGCACTTCCGGTTTTGAACACCTGTTGTTTTACAAGATTTCTATTGTAGAATTGACAATAACGTGTATCATTCCAACTACCAAGTTTCAAATAAAACAACTTGTAGTATCTCTGTAGTATTAATTAAAAATGTTTCAAACCTCACGTTTTTTTTCATAACAGGAAGTCGTCCAGTAAAAACTCGAAATGTCAGATTTTCGCGATCGTTCACGACTAATTGCCGAATTGCCATATAATAACAATACTATCGTCATGGTGTCTGACTTTAATTCCATTGATCTCAGCAATAAAACATATTGTTAAATGAGCTACAATTAGGACATAATTAAGTTTTTGACGGATCGAATTGAATTAAAACCAAAGCGTGAAATGGAACAAAACGTATCTGTAGCACAAATATGCACGGCTGTAAGGATTGTCATGCATGCCTAAGTTGGCAAGGGTTGCAATATATATCGTAGAAGAAAAGTTTCTGTTGAACAAATTTGAAGGTCTATTCTTAATTTTGTATTGGTAGTGATGAAATTGAAAAAAGAGCCTCAAGCAATTCGAAATATTCAGTATTATATTTTACATGCAACACAGGAGTTGAAATCTTTCTAAAATATATTAGTAACAATATTCATTTTGTATTATCCTATTTAGCATTTAAACGAATTTCAATATTTCTGTGCGTCATTGGATATGCACGCACTGTGAGAGAAACGCGCCTTTGCATAATAACTGCAGCGAAACAGGCAATTTGATTGGCCAATTTAAATAAAAATGCCTTCGCGAATTTTAAATTTGAATGCCTTCAATATAAACGAAATATCTAGATGCCTTTTTAATTAATTGAATACCGGACAAAGAAAACATTTTAACGAGTGAAGTTAACAGTATGTTAAACGAGAGACAAGTTGACAAAAAAGTTCATAAAGTACTGTTTAGCGAGTGGCTTTAGACCTAATAAAAAACGACCTGCGAGTTTATTAATAAACGGCTTCAAACCCGACTACAAATTCAATAGATAATCGAGAATACTAATGAGGACACGACTACAATAAATACTACCTAATTAGTATTCTAATATACTAATTACTTAGGAGTGTTTTATCAGGTTTAAAGCCACTGCACGCGACATATTATGGTTGACATGATTTGCCAATAAGCGTATGAATTATTAATGATGTTTGTAGTTATGACAGTTAACCGTTTAAACTTTTAAAAACGTTTAACTGACATTAAAATTTTTAAAAGGTTAACCGTTGTTTCACTGTAGTTATTTTACAAAACAAATGTACAGTACCAAATGGTTTTTCGTGCAAGATATTACGGAAACATCCCGCGTTAATGGATGATGCCATTCTGCATGGCCTTTACCTCGTGGTTCGCGTATGCAGCATAACGATCAGGGTGACTATGCCTTGCGTCCATTGTTGCTGGATTCAACGCGACGTTCTGGCTGGACGGTCCTTGTCTGATATAGCGATCTGCAGACTAAATTAAATATGTAGTAATATATGGTTAATATTATATAAGTCAAGTCGAGGCCAAATATCGGAGGCATGCAGGTATTGTCTGTTGAGCTACGATTACGACATGATTAGGATTTTGACGAATGGAATTTGATAAAAACCAAAGTGTGCAATGGAACAAAACTTGTACAGAGTACAAGATTGCACGGCTGCACGGATTGCAAAGCTGCCAAAGCTGGAATTAGACAGCGAAGCCAAGTTGTCTATGAGGGAATACTCAACGAGGCGAAGCCGAGTTGACTATTCGCTCAGAGACAACGAGGCTGAGTTGTCTAATATTTTTAGTATAAACCACATAAAAAAAACGGAATTTTCTCTTGATTTTTATGTAAAATAGTAACTTTTTAACGAAATAAACTTTAATTGGCTTCCTTTGGCGACATTTCGCCTCGGCTTTGTTGACAACTACTCAGTGTTGCGAACTCCCAAGAATGACTTGAAAAATACAACTTGTGAGTTTTAAAAAAGTTAAAAAACATGTCGTAAAACAGTATAATAGTAAGAGACAGCTATTCAAGCAATTTTTGGTTAATTTAAAGAAGGAAAAAAGGCTTAAAAAGTCCAAAATTTCGAACACAAAATGACTTCCCGAATTGTTACTAAATTATATCGAATATAAAAATGCACACACAAAAGAACCCGATTATCCGAATGTCGTTGAAATCTTTAAAATATCTGGAACATAATTAGGCAAACCATTTCCATAATCTAGTATACATAGACCATAGTTTAGATCAAAATTTAATCGAAAAACTCGACTTATTAAAAAGGCTCGAAAAGGCGAAAAACAAACTCGGCCAAACTCTGGACATTTAAACGAAAAAAACTCTTTAAAATGATAGCTAAATACACGAACTCGTACTTAAAACAAGAACACGCTAAAGAGGTTGAGACAATAGGGGTAAATAGCTACAAAGTATTGTTAATTTTCAACGATTCTGCTTGGATTATTAACAATCATTAATTGTGCATATATTTAAAACAAATCGCCTGTCACTCTCATGCTCAAAACAACGAGCTCAAAAAACCTTTAAAATTTTACCGCATGTGTGTGTAATCCAGAACCAAAATTAGGCCATTTTAATTGATAAGCTTTTTCCATTAAATGCAGCTTTTAATACTTAAAAACGGCCATTGACTCTCGCGCCCCTCGTAGCCTACAAGTAGCGTAGCGAATCAGGACGCACGATAGATGATAGCCTACTAGTAGTAAGTTCTTTGTATGTTTGCATGGTGATAAAATATAATAGGTTTTGTTTGTGGAAACACCACGTAAATTTATTACTGCAAAGCTTACGGATCGAAAGCTTTGCAGTAATAAATTTACGCGGTGTTTCCACAAACAAAACCTATTAGCCTACTAGTAGGTTTATACTAAATATAGGTAGTGATGAAATTGAAAAAACGGGCCTCGGACAGATAAAAATATTCAGTATTTTACTTTATATATCCAACAGAGAAGTTAAAATCTTTCTAAAATATATTAGTAATAATTATTGTTTTATATGACAAGCATTTGTTTTGATAAATCGCGCAAATTTATTGGCTCCTGACGAGGCACGATTTTCCGTATTGCCAACAAGGCCGAGTTTCAAACGGGAAAAAGAGTCTAAATTAAAGTCTTTCAAACTATTCAAAACGGAGGAAAATAAACCTAAAATAAAGAAAAGGAGCAACTGCTGTGGTTAAAGAATTTTCACAATACGTTTTTGTTAGGCAAAGTCGAAATTACAAAGTAAATTTTACAATGTTTAGTACCAGGTTATAGCATGGTTTCGAGTGAAATTTAGATATAACATGCACGAGTGAGTTTTTCAAAGAACTCAAAATAGTGCGAGTCCGCGGAAGGACAAGTGATCATGTATTCGAACATTTCTGTGCGTCATTGCGTAAACGCACGTGTATGTGAGCATGCAACGCTTATCTGGATGGCAGGATTTTTGGGCATATAGCTAATTTGCTGAAGGGATATGTATGATGAAAATTCGCGTGAAATTTTTAAACATTTAATGGACCTTTAACCTTATAACTAAAATTTTGATCTAGACAAAAATTTCATCACAGCTTGAAAGAGCATCACAAAATTAGTAATATTCCAAAGTTTCGTTACGAAATGTTGTAAAACGCGGATAATATAGCCCTGCGAAGTTTGCAATTTTCAGTCATTTTAGATTACAAACGGGAAATTGATACCCAAATCGGGTGTGTGGGTATCAATTTCCCGTTTGTAATCTAAAATGACTGAAAATTGCAAATTTCGCAAGGCTATATTTTCCACATTTTACAACATTTCGCAACGAAACTTCGGAATATTACTAATTTTGTGATGCTCTTTCAAGCTGAGATGAAATTTTTGTCTAGACTTGTCTAGATCAAAATTTTAGTTATAAGGTTAAAGGTCCATTAAACCGAACTAGAAGCAGTTGCAAAAAATACAACTACAGGTCCTCTCGCGCAGGAATCGAACCTGCAGCCCTGCGATGCTGGTGCATCACTCTAACCAACTGAGCTAAAGAGAGGCAGTTATTGAGCTCAACCACAAGGTCGGCATGATATCCACCCATACTTCTTACATTGGCATCACCTTAGTATATATAAACATGAAGTTAGAGCTCGACAATTGGCCACTGCACCTCCGTATTGGGCGCTGCACCGGAATCGCAATGCCGCAGGTTCAATTCCTGCCAGAGGGCTTCTGATTAGATCCAATAAATGTATAAAAATTCCACTAGAATTTTCCATCTGGGAATCCCTCACAATTATCTGGATAGCAGCCTTTACCTCTTGATTTGTGTATCCAGCATAACGATCAGAACGACCATGCCACCAGTCCACTGTTGCTGAATTCAACGCGACGTTGTGGCTGGACGGTTCTTGTCGGATATAATGATCTGCAGACTAGGTAGCAATGTTTGGTTAATATTATAACTGAAGTCGAGTCCCAATATTGGAGGTGAAAATTAATTGCCTGCCTCTTGGGCGAAAATGAATCCAATAAGGCGCTTTTCATAAGCGATAATTGGCCATGGAACACTGTGGAATCATGAATGTGAAATTTTTGTAAGGGACCTTTATACAATTTTGTGAGTAGATCCTTAAATTTACTACTTGTGGAAATACATTTCATTACACCAAGGGAGAAACCTGAAATTAAAATCACTTGCCTGTTCATTCATGTATGATGTAGAATAATCAGGATGAGCCTGCCCAGTGGGAATCATTACAGAATTCATAGCGGCATACTGCCGGGGCTGTTCTCCTCCTTTATACCAATATTCAGACTAAAAATAGAAAATGTTACCTACACTCGTGAGGTGGATAGTAACTGGTTGGTCAGCTCTGGATATCCTTTCGCTATCACCCGATTAGCGCGTTTGACGCCGGCCGGGGTTATTTTACTTATTTAACTGTAATACAATACGGCAATGCAATACGACTGTTAGGCGAGTCTGTCGGTAGTATACTGTAGTATACCACAATACATCACGGCTACCAGCCGCCAATACGCCGAGGCTATTTTTAATTGTAATACAATACTACAATACTACAATACTACAATGGTACAATGCTACAATGCAAACGGCTATCAGCCGGGCCTGTCTGTAGTATACTATAGTAAGCTACAAAACATCACGGCTACTTATATTAATAAAATATTATATTATATTATACTATAGTTTCCTTTCATTCATCTTAAAGAGATTGAAAGTCACGAATATATGAGTCGCTTTGGTTACTCTTAAAACCTCACCGCTTGCCTCGTGGTTTAAACTCAATTCTATTGGGAATCGTGTACCATCCACCTGGAAGTGACGATAAAGCCCTTCTTTCACACCTTACCGAATCAATTGATTCTGTCCTTTCCACCAATCCCGGTGCAGGAATTATTTTGGCCGGAGATTTTAACCAATTTAAACATCGCCAGTTATGCAGTTCCTTTAACCTCAAGCAGTTAGTCAAAGACGCGACTAGAGGAAAGAATATTTTAGATAAAATATTTACCAACATTTCTAAATTTTATAATTCTGCCCTGGTAA